GTCGGAGCAAGCACGCAACCTTGCTTGACAAAATCGGTGACAGCAAATACCTTGGAGATGTAGCTTCATTGATCCACATGTTAACATGTTAACATTACGTTGTGCAGTGCCCTCGCCAGATTGATAAATTCGGCAGTACATCAATACTTTCCGAACACTGTATCAAAAGCCTTAGAGAAGTCGATAAAAACGGCATACAGCGGCACACTTCTCTTATAACTGTCGCAAACAGAGGATCGATCATATCCACAGTGCCTCTACCATGCACTGCGAATACCACATCGAGTCTCAGGCACGATGTGGAGAATAATGTGTTCGTTCAATCTGTTGAGGAGTATGCGAGCCTACATCTTTTCGGCTATTGAGAGAAGAGAAATACCTCGATAGTTCCCACAGTCCTTTCTTCTTCCCTTCTTGAAGACTGGCACGATAATGGCATCTTTCCAGTCTTTTGGTATGTCTTCAGTTTCCCAGATCTGCAAACTCAGTTTGTACAGGCTAGAGGCGATTTTCACAGCCACAATGTTTCCAGATTTCGTCAGGTATACCACACCTTCCAAGGGCTTTACCTTCCTTTCTTGTATTGATGCCATACAACAGCTACTTCAATTCAGGATTTTCATCAACAAGTGTAATGTCTGGGCTCTGTGCAATGGTGTCCAAGGTAGAGTTGTCAACTTCTCCGGTCATTAAGTAGCTGGTCAAATTGGTTTGCAAATCTATCGAGAGTCTCAGCTTTGTCCTGTATTTCTGTCTCACCATCAAGGACAGTACGCTGTGTTGTACCCCTCTTCTGTGGCCGATATACTTCTCTCAAGCCATTTTAAAAGGCTTTCATATCGTTTTTATTTGCTGCCTGCCTGAATTCTTCAGCCTCCAACCATTGAGACTTACTTCCCTTTTCATGAGTAAGATTTCGTTCAATTACCTAATGGATTCCCTTTTGATTATCAATAGCTAAAAATATTCAGTGTTAACAGAAACCCATAAGGGGTTGAAACGTGTAACTCTCATATGTTTGCTTTGTCCGATGCTTGTGATTATTCATTCTCGAAAGTACCATATTTGGAACGAGAAGAAGAGACAACTGACCAATCAAACTTCGTAAACAAGGTGACGTAATTTTCCTTCAGGTTCCCGCGCCCGCTTAAATAAATGGCTGACAAACGGGGGAAAAACTCCCGAAAGCCGAGAAAGCTTTCAAAGGTTGAAACCAGGAATATTACCGAAACACTGAACAGGATATTATTGCCTTACCACCCGGGCCAAACGTAACATTATGAAACCCATTGACGGCCTCGCAACTTCTTGAAGTTGTCACTTCAAAAAACGATGCCTCGTTTGACACAGGAAAGTACAGGAAACTTATACTGCAAATAGGCTTTTAAAATTCTTATGTTAAAAGTGTAGAATAAACAGTGAAAAATATTTTCGAATAAAATTCATTAGCTGTGTATCGAAAGTGTCCAAAACCTGAACCTGACATCTTCGCAAAAAGTGATGCTTGTAATGAATATGAGAAGCATTTTAAAAGCTTAAATTAAACTTAGATGTTGTAGTCACGATCGTGTTTTGAGCTAATTTTATGAACAAACTCAAAACAATAGACAGAGAAGCCGTTTCTTGAAAGTTTTTATTCAAAGTCCAAAAAGTTAATCCTTTAAAGCAATTCGGAAAACACTATCTGGATCGTGGATCCATTCACGCAAGTGACATCGGCTAAGCACATGGCAAAATTCAACACAAAATCCATCTCAAATCAGGGCACATTTTGTAATTTTTCTTTACCGCCGAAGAGAAAAATTTATAAAACGTCTATGAAACATTTAAAAACACATAAATTCCCTTTCAAAAACGTAATTGTCTTGGCAACAGGGTGCAAAATGTACCTGAAAATTCAGCAAAATCTTCGCTGACTTGGTTGCATTTCAAAACAGACCATGGGCTCCGCCGTGAAGAAAACAAGGTTGAATTCCTCAAAGGACGATTTCTTGATGAAAAGCTTCCCTTTCTCCACAAAAAGAAAGCTGAGCATTCTTTTGAACTTTCTCTTTCCATTTTTTGTCTTTTAACGGTGTATTTTTAAACTTGAAATGCAGAACTCTTGTCTTAAAACATCTGCATGGTGATAGCGCAGCAGCCATTTTGTTGAAAATGGATATCCGTCACCAAGATTTCCAAATATGGTCAAAATGAATATTCACAGGCATTGAACGCGAGTTACACGTTTCAACCCCTTATGGGTTTCTGGTGTTAATTAAAATTAACACTGAAAGGATATCAATAGAATATGATGAATCTACTAGAGTTCGAGGCTATTTTGTTTACCAGGATATGGGCTTCATTAACGACAAATAAAAAACTCTTGAATCTACGTCCAAAATAATAAATAAGAGCTGTAGTATGTTATTAAGACTAAGACGCAAATAATCGTATTTGCTTACACCTGCTATTGAAAAATTTCGTCAAAATACCCGAAAGGCACATGTGAAAGGACTTCATATCCTCCATAAATTACTATACTGTTAATTCATTGAGTTGAGAACTCAGAACAATCAAATGTCCTCTATACAACATTATTAATTGAAGCTGACATCAAACTTCGCTAGAGACCAACGAGACTTGTATTTTTGTCATATTTCCCTGCTGGTCTTAACACTGAAAGGTATTTTCGACAGAGAAATAATAACACCAAGACTATTTTTTCGATACCTTCAACATACCTTTCAACTGTGTGGGAGCTGTTTCGCATTTTTAATTTGGATAATAACAATAATGAGTTCATTTATCACTAACTGCTCATAACGCTTCATACGAAATCTATTTACAAATCATGCTACAAAAATCTGTTAACAAAATCTGTTTACAATAAATACTCTAGAAATGACGACGCCACACCATTAGGTAACTAAAATTCTAACATTAAAAATTAATGAAATAAGGTAAACAACATTACAAATTAATGAAATAAGGTAAACAACTTTGAAAGGTAGGCTTTCTTGAAGAGATGGATTTTTAGTTGACGTTTAAAGGCATCGACATCGGCAGCCCCGGCCAGATAACAGAAGGAGCTAGCGCCAAAAGGACATGCCTACTTCAACATACATCACCCTCGTGGTCATCTACTCAGTGCAAGCAATCATTATCATTGCTGGAAACACGTTCACAATCTTTGTATTCTGGACTCAGAGATCCCGCCTAAAACGAACTTATCTTCTTTTGATTAACCTCGCAGTCGCCGATTTACTTGTGGGGATTACAGAACTTATAGTCATAGGAACTGTAAAATCTCATGATCTAGGAAAGGGCATTTTACTGCTGAACCGATCAAACTTCTCAGCGGCTTTTACACTTTTCTTTTCGAGTACGTCCGTCTACTTTCTAGCGCTTGTCTCCTTGGAACGTGCTTTCGCCGTCTTACGGCCAATCCGTCATCGCATCACAAATCGTCGAGTCTACATCTATAGCATCGTTATCGTTTGGGCCATCGCTCTTGTCTTTTTTGTTCTTTTTATGTTATCCCTTTATTATCCAGAAATAAATGGGGTATATGTTTTTGTCACTGGTAGGACATCGCTTCTTATTTCCATCTTGATAATTTGTACAAGTTACCTTAGAATACGAGCTCGATTGCGCACACCCTCACCCGCCGAGATAGACAATCATAAGCATCGATCAAGGGAGCACAATTTACGGCTTTCAAAAACACTTTATATTGCGATTGCTTCATCGCTTGTGTTTTGGATGCCTGCTTATCTCGTCTTCTCAACGAAAGGATTCTGTCCTGGATGCTTTTCTGCGCCAGTGGTTATTTGTCTCGTGGAAGCTTTATATCTGGCAAATTCTATGGTGAATCCTCTCGTCTACAGTTTGAGAATGCAAATTTTCAAAGACGTATTAAACAAATTCCGGAGAAAACGACGACAGAACATAAAAGCAATTCAGCAAAAATAATTCGGGCTTTGGTCGAGAAGGTTCATTTACTCCAACACTTTCGATTAGACCGATTACAATGATTTGAGCAGCCTAAAGTAGAGTAATAACGCTGACTGTATATTATAATTGATTAAGTATTAAAAGAGGTGTTGACTTAGTTGACGCGGAGAAAAAGACGACAGAACACAAGACCAGCTCAGCAAAATAGTCGGCGCTTTTGCCTGGAAGGGGCTTCACTCTAACACTTTCGACCTGCCTGAAGTAAAAAAATATTGAAAGCTCAGATTGTATAGCATAATTAATTAAGTAAAAGCCTTCTTTATGCAACAACAACTGTGAATGTATAATTACGCGAGTGATTTTTGTAAGCTTCATCACCAACATATGGTTGTAAAAAAATGACATTTTTATATCATTCTTAAATTAATCATCCCGTCGTCACCACTTAATGGCTTGATTAACCCATATAGATCACAGGCTGTTAGATTGTGAATCATTTGAACGAGCTGAAATTGTTGAGGATACGGTTTCTGACATTAAACTTGTCAAACTTGAAAACTGCTCCCTTTTTGAATAGCCTCAAACGCATTTGACATAGCTGATATTCACTCTGTGACGGTCATGACGCGAGTTAAATATAATATCCTATGCTGCGTTAAATTTCAGCGCTGTTAAATTTTGTAAAAGTTTCTTTAAAAAGAAAATATTGGTGTAATATGCATTGTTTTTATTCATGCAGTGCGTCTTAAATATCCGAGAATAGCTCTTGGTTATATGTCATTATTTTAATGCCCGAAAAGTTCAGTCTTACATTTTTTCCAAGTCTTATAAGCAGTAATCAAATAACTTAAAAAAGATCTTTGTGATATTTGTCGCATTTAAATGAATATTAACTTTTACAAATATCTAATAACTTGTAATATTTCAGATAATATATTTATGCCACTTTTTTCTCAGAAGAGGATATGCAATAAATTTTCATTTGCAATACGTTCCGGGCTGATGATAATCATTAGCCAAGCACTAATGACATGATATACGGTTTTCAAACAGTTAGAGAACGGATGTAAAAACGCTAAGTGCGGTTATAGAAACACAGAGATTCCCATAAACCTTTACGAATATTTCACCATTTATCATTTTAAAATATACCACTTGTCAAAACGAAAATAAAATATGAACGGGAAAAGCTACTCCAGCCTGCATGATTTTCCCTTATTCGACACCCTCTCAAAGATTAAAAACACGGAAAATTGAATTATTTTTTTCATCAACACGGCAGAGAAATCGGGTTTAGATTTTGTTTTTAAGTTCATCGTACTTTAATTACATATCTAATATGCGTTCTTGAATCACTCGTCTTTTTTATATTACCAATACTAGATAACCCCGATGTCCAAAAAACTGATAACCGAAGTATACAATCTTTGCATTCTAGATGCGAATGAATAATCGTGTTTATTGACATGAGATGTGGATGTTGTGAAACCGACTTTGTATCCTCTCTGTTTCTTTGTGGCCAACTGAGATTAACATCAAGTCTCCTCGACTTCTCAAATAGCAATTATTGGATTCGGCTTTCATTTAGTGCTATGAAGAATTAAGACGATTGAGGAGGGGGTTATCGGCCGTGATCTTCTAATCCAACATCAACTAAACATGCCAGTTACCTTCATTTTTGTACAGATCCCATCTTCAATGCCTCACTCCTCTGCACTCTAAGGTTATGAAGGGAGAATATTCATTCTAGCATGGAATGAATAATAATACTCATTTAAGCTTACTGAGCTGTACTTACTCGGTGTATGAACGAAACTTTATTTATTTTAATCATTTCTACAAAGAAATTATTTGCATGGAGAGATTTTTTTTTTCCAGAGCGCATAAATATTATTTGACAGCGTGGAAGCTGTCCATGCAGTAAGTCAGTTTAAGTAAAAAATAATAATAATAAAAATAATTATAATAATAAAAAACACACACATATACTGCAAGCAAATCAAATGGTCAACATGTTTTACTTAAAAATCAATTTTTGTAAGCTTAAGAAATGAATATTGATTTTTTTGACTAATTATTTTATCAACCGCGTTAGCAAAACATACCATGTGTGACATACCTTGTTATTAAAGACTTGTTACTCAGAGCATTTGGCATGGGCTTTGCAAATAAGTAATTTTTTAAGGCTGATAATTAATAAAAACGAAATATAAGTGTTGCAGTGACAACCACAATTTGGATTCCCTGAAATAACTTAGATGAGATGAGTCCTGATTCAGTTGCCTTCCTGACAATCACACTTTTCAAATAACACTTAATGTTAGATCATGTTCTAATTTTCTCGCTCTTCTCCCTTAAATTTTAGTTAAATATGAACATTGAAATTGTCAATTTTACAAACAACGAAATGTATATAAAATTAACGCTGAAAGAACATGAGCAGAATATGCATGTCGATTAAATCTACGCACTAGTATACACAAAAGGAGTGTTGAGTAAGACACGTTTTTTTTATGAGATCCCAACTTCATTTGTGGATTTTCTTATCTGTTTCTTTCTAATTACTGAACTGTTTTCATTTTCGTTAATTAAAAATGACAGCCCGAAGAAATCTTTTATCATACTAGATGCAAAGCGCGTCTATTTACACTGCTGCTAATAAAATGTCGTAAAAAGCGCTTAGGACATAAATGGGCGGACGGACGCCAGTTTATCTTCAATATTATCAAGACATATGTTTTTTTGATATATAGTCATTTCGTTAACAACTCAGTCAGCTTCAAGCATCATGTACCTTGGACTCGCTGAGCTTTACAAAGATCACCTGTCCTAACTGCCTTCATGTAGAAATACAGTATCTATATTTGGTCTACTTATACAGTATTAATACTGAGAAATAATATTAATAAGAACTATATTTTCTTGAGATCGACCCGGTTTTCAACTGTGCGCGAGTTGTTCCGAATTAAGAGAACTAGATAACAAAACGAAGAAAGACATGCCTTCATCGACGTCCATTTTCTTCGTGGTCATCTTCGCACTGGAGGCAATCATGATCGTTATTGGTAACACGTTTACTATTTACGTATTCTGGAATCAAAGATCCCGCATAAATCGGACTTATTTTCTTCTGATTAACCTCGCAATTGCAGATTTACTTGTAGGAATTACAGAACTAACAGTCTTGGCAGCTTTCAAATTTGAGGTCACGCTAGAAAGTGACGGACTATTGATGCAAAGACAATCAAATCCTTCGGTTGCTTTTCAACTTTTGTTTCCGTGTACGTCAGTGTATTTTCTCGCTCTTGTCTCCTTGGAACGTGCCTTCTCCGTGTTATCGCCAATCCGTCATCGCTCCATAAACAGTCGAGTTTACATCAAGAGCATCGTTTTTGTGTGGGCAGTTGGCCTTTGTTTCTTTGCTTTAACACTCATCGCCATTTATTACCCAGAGGTGAAAGAGGAATATGTTTTTATAGCAAGTAACATAGGTCTTTTTATTTCCCAACTGATAATCTGTACAAGTTACCTTAAAATACGCAATCGGTTGCGCGCATCATCACCAGGGCTTGATATTCATGGCCATCACTTACAGGCACACAATCTACGGCTTTCTAAAACGCTTTTCATCACAATCGCTTCGTCGCTTGTGTTTTGGATACCTGGTTTTGTAGTTTACTCAACTAGAGAATTTTGTCCTCCATGCTTTCCTGTACCAGTAGTTTGGTTCGCGAATGCTATGTATCTGGCAAATTCTATGGTGAATCCCTTCGTCTACAGTTTCAGGATGACAATATTTAAAGACGCTTTAAAGAAACTCTGCAGGAAAAGACAACAGAACATAGGACCAGGGTTAGCAAGTCGGCACGTACACAGCCTTGTATTTTGACTATCAAAAGCCTGTCGCTTATTCAACATAAAGGTATACCAACATCTACGGTTATGAGTTGATATGCCTTGAAACTAGGGATAGCAATATAATGACGCTGATTGTAAAAAATGATCACTGAAATAGGCTGTGGTCACATTGTGTTTGTAGTTGAAATAACGCAAGGTATGCACTTGTGGAAAGCCCATCGGCACTGATAAACACATAGACTGTTCACAGTCCCCTATTTTTTGTAAGATCGTCAGGATCGAGCACTTACCGGAATGGGTGCCATCTTGGTCGGTGATCCAAAATGGCTACCTTGATGTCGACGTCGACCTTACAGAAAAGCAGGCGACTGTGAACAGTGTAATTAACGCAGAGAGCAGTACTGTAAAATACCATAGTTAAAAGGAGTTTTAATGTTGAAAGTCAGTAGGTAGTTTTAATTGCTCAACGTTTTTCCATAAGACTTTTCGTAGTGAGGCATGAAATTATTAATTCAAACACAGTTTAAACAGTAAAAATTGAAAACTACCAGGACTGCCAGCGAATACGACCCCTACAAAAACTGTGTGAAAAAACTTTCTCAAGGTTGAATTATCTTATAATTAAGCTCTTTTCTATCTCTCTATCAACGCTTTGCAAGGCAGTGGTGGATGAATAAACAAGAAATGATTTGCAATGACAATTACGCCTAAACCCCTTGCCCATTAGAAGTAACTTGTACCAGAGGATTCAGTAATTTCTAAATCAATTTTACTTTTTATTCATACAACTTAAAAAATGTTGTGTGTATGAAACAACCATCTTTTTTGCAGCAGTTGCCCACCCAAGCAATAATTCGCCCATTCAGAGAAAGTGCACATATAACAGGGCATTAATGCTATCTTGTAAGCCATTTCTCTAAAATAAATTAAAGAAAACAGAGAGCGGCGTCCAGATATCATGGTGTGATATTTTTAGGGCTACTATTGCTGTGTCCGGGACAATCTGATTTAAAAATCCCTACTAGCAAGAAGAATTAAGATATTTAAAAAGATAAAAAATAAAGCAGGGTGGTGTCTTCAGGCGGAGTAGAGCGTAAATTAGGGCGATTTATTCTCTTACCCTGCGCATGCAGCAAAAAGAGCGATTTTTAGTCACACAGAAGAGTATAGATTCAAGTACTGCATAAGGAGTAGCCAAGCGCGTAGCAAAAATCGTGTATTACTGAAACTGCGAATAATTTATGGTGAATATGCTGTTCTTCAAAAACGGTAATATCGGATGCCCCAGGTGAGATACCCACTTATGTCACTTGTATATATTTGCAGAGTACATCTGTATGAAATAAAGAACTAAGTCACTCGTACTGCACCAAAAAAGCTTGCTATGCAGGCTTCATCATGGGCAATGCACAATTTCAAATAGGACCGGGAGGATATGGTAAAGGGACATAGGTCCCTCTCTACCAGGAGACGCCAGCCTGGTTTCTGGCGCGGTAAAGACCACCTTGATGCGGGTTTAGGAGTGTCTGATCTCTCGTTAGTAATCCTTCTAGTGATATGGTGCGACATTCGTGGATCCTGAAATGCTTAGAGACGGTTGGAACGCCAAGAGTATCATCGTCATCGCAGTCATTTGGCTCGACTGAGACCGTTCTAGAGTTCAGCATGGTTTGATAAGTCCCCTCCAGGTAGGTCTGTCGTTGGCCTTCTCCTGCCATCGAGATCGATGTCTCTCCATCTCATGTTTCTCTTTGCAACATCTTTGAACCTTAATCTAGGCCTCCCTTGATTACGCATTCCCAAGCAGAGTTGAAATTATAACAGCTGCCTTGGAAGTCTGTTAATATCTATCCTATGCACGTGACCCAGCCATCTGAGATTTTTCGCTATGAGAATATCAGTCATCGAAATTAGTCCTCAGGGCTCAGTTAAACAGGTTAGCATCAATACGAGTCTGGATGAAGATACCGTCCCAAAAATCGTCAAAGGCTACTTCTGGCATTGCTGTTAGGTACCTTGCTTTTCACCATTGGTGAGAGCAAATTCCTTGGAGATAAAGTTTCCTTGACCCAGATGTTCTTGCATTTCGTTGTGCAGTGCCCTCAAAAGATTGATAAATTAACAGCAGTACATCCATACTTTCCGAGAACTGTATCAAAATCCTTTGTGAAATTGATAAAACAGCATAAAGCGGCATATTATGCTCTTTCCACTTCTCTTCTAACTGTCGCAAACAGAGGATCGATAATATCCAGCTATATCCACAGTGCTCTACCACTGCGAATACCAAATCGAGTCTCAGGTAGGATATTGGGAACTATGTTCAATCTTTTGAGGAGCATGTGATCGGGCCAAGATCATTTTGGCGCCTGAGACGAGAAATACCTCGACGATAGCTCCCACAGTCTTTTCTACTTCCCTTCTTGAAGACTGGCACGATAATGGCATCTTCCCAGTCCTTTGGTATTTCGTCAGCCATTTTCCCAGACCAGTGCAAAACTCAGTTTGTATAGGCTAGAGGCGAGTTACACAGCCACAATGTTTCCAGATTTCGGCAGGTATACCACACCTTCCAAGGGCTTTACCTTCTCTTGTTGCATTGATGGCATCCAACAGTTCCCTCCTTTCAGGATTTTCATCAACAAGTGTAATGTTTGGCCTCTGTGCAATGATGTCCTTGGCAGAGCCGTCAACCTCTCCTGTCATGTTAAGTAGCTGGTCAAATTGGTTTGCAAATCTATCGAGAGCCTAAGCTTTCTCCTGTATTTCTGTCCTACCATCAAGGACAGTAATTAGTTCGCTTTGTTGAGCCCTAGCTCTTGTGTAGCCCATATACTTCTCTCAAGCCATTTTAAAAGGCTTTCATGTCGTTTTTATTTGCTGCCTGCCTTAATTCTTCAGCCTCCCTCCATTGAGACTTTATTTCCCTGGTGTACTGCTGTAGATTCCGTCGAACACCAGTCAGTTCTGCCCTGTTTGGTCTAGTGTTCAGCTGAAGCTGTTTCACCCTTGCATTATTTCCGTCATCCAAACAGACCCTTCACCTTCTTGTTACTGTCTTCGAACCAATCCTGGTGTTTCCGACCGAGTTTACATAAGACACTCAGGGCAGTGTCATATGTAGTTGCTCTTAAAGAATTCCATTTTTCTTCATTCTCTGACTAGAGATGTTGAGATCCTGCCAAAGCCTCGTCCATTTCCTTTTTCAACTTCTGCTGGTTTTATCTCGTAGTTTCATTATATCAAATCTTACATCAGGGTGGTTTGTCAGCAGTTATGGAGTGGTTTATTTCCTGATGGAGAAGGGAACAGTGGATCTTAACAAAACATGGTCAGTTGAACAGTCAGCGCCTCCCATGGTTCTTGTCAGTTCAAGATGTCATTTTGGTCTACCTTCCTTACTATTGCAAAAGCTAAAAGCCAATGTTTATAGCGGGGATGCAAAGCGGTCAAGAATATGACCCCTTTATTAGCAACAGCATGGTGAAATAGAAAGACAGTTTGGGCGGAAAAATACCCCCAAAAAAATCTCTCAAGGAGACTCTTTATCATCCTTGCTGTTTTTAATAGTCATGTTGCTACTCCCAATAGTGTTACGAAAGATGAGAGCTGCAGGATATAAACTGGCGAAGGCATGAAACTCGTCAACCATCTATTGTTCATGGAAGATTGGGAGTTGTCTAGAGCTAACACAGACCAACTTGCCACTTAATCAAGCGGTAAAGATTTTGTCAGAAACAGTCAAATATGTCCTTTAGGTTTTAGAAAAGTGTGCTGTCTTGGAATTGAGGAGAGAAATGATGGACAGCAGGGGAACGGACCTACTAGATCATGTGACCAGCTTTTTACACTTTCTTTTCATTCACTCCATCTCTACGCAGACGAGATTCTCCTGATTGTAGAGCAAGCACGCACAGGTGTTGTGTTCCAAACAATACTTAATTATTGCTGATTTTCACCTTCAAGCTTTTGAAAATAAAAAACAAAACCGTCCTATAGATCCAGCATCTGCGAAATGAAAATGGAGGTAAATGTACAAAGACACTCCCTAAGATTTCTTAACTGTGAGATGTTCAGAGAAATGCTTTACCTGAATAGGCCTCTTTAGTACGTACGTTGTATGTTTTTATTTGCCAATGCAATTTATGTGACAACAAGAGAACAGTTTCTTTCTTTTTCTGATCTCCCCGCCGATGTTAATACATAGATCGAGAAATGTTAAGACGGACTCCATCAGGGAATTGAGTAATTTTAGTTTTCATTGGACAAAAACCTTGTACCAGAATAAATTAAGCCGTATCAAATTCTTTTTTACATTTTGCAAGGGAGGACTAAAGGTATAATTAATTATCTGTAATAACACCAGACGGGAGAAAATTGATGTCGAACTCACAGGAATTGTGCAAACACAAGTAAAATTAAGATATTTGTCATTAGCTAAAAATATTGAGTGTTAATTTTAATTAACACTGAAAGGATATCAATAGAATATGATTAAATCTAAAAATGAGAAAAAAATATGCCAATTGTCTTAAAAGACACAGAGTTCAAGACTCTTTTGTTTATCAGGATATGTGTTTCATTTACGACCCGTGAAAATACGTGCAAAATAATAAATAAGAGCTTTTAGTATGTTATTAAGACTAAGACGCAAATAATCGTGTCTCCTATACACTTGCTGTTGAAAAATTTCGTCAGATACCCGAAGGGCATATGTGAACGGACTTCATATCCTCCACGAATTATTATAAATGTTAATTCATTGAGCTGAGAACTCAGAACAATCAAATGTCCTCTATACAACATTACTAATTGAAGCTAACATCAAACTTCGCTAGAGATCAACGCGTACGGCTGGTACGCGACTTGTATTTTTGTGATTTTACCTGCTGGTCAGATCAAAAGGTATTTTCGACAGAGAAATAATAACAAGACTATTTTTTCGATACCTTAAACATACCTTTCAACCGTGTGGAAGCTGTTTCGCATTTTTAATTAGGATAATAATAATAATGAGTTCATTTATCACTAACTGTTCATACTTCGTACTAAATCTATTTACAAATCATGCGACAAAAATCTATTAACAAAATCTGTTTACAATAAATACTCTAGAAATGACGAATTATTCATCATTAGCTAATTAAAATTCTAACATTACAAATTGATGAAATAAGGTAAACAACTTTTAAAGGTAGGCTTTCTTGAAGAGATGGGTTTTTAGTTGAAGTCGGTAGCCAATATAACAGGAGCTAGCGCCAAAAGGACATGCCGGCTACTTCAACATACATCAGCCTCGTGGTCATCTACTCAGTGCAAGCAATCATTATCATCGCTGGAAACACGTTCACAATCTTTGTATTCTGGACTCAGAGATCCCGCCTAAAAGGGACTTATTTTCTTTTGATTAATCTCGCAGTCGCCGATTTGCTTGTGGGGATTACAGAACTTATGGTCATAGGAACTTTAAAATCTCATGATCTAGGCAAGGGCATTTTACTGCTGAACCGATCAAACTTCTCAGCGGCCTTTACACTTTTCTTTTCGAGTACGTCCGTCTACTTGCTAGCGCTTGTCTCCATGGAACGTGCTTTCGCCCTCTTACGGCTAATCCGTCATCGCATCAAAAATCGTCGAGTTTACATCTATAGCATCGTTATCGTTTGAGCCATTGCTCTTGTCTTTTTTGGTCTTTATGTTATCCCTTTATTATCCAGAGGTAAATGGGTTATATGTTTTTGTCACTGGTAGGACATCGCTTCTTATTTCCATCTTGATAATTTGTTCAAGTTACCTTAGCATACGCACTCGATTGCGCGCACCCTCACCAGTCGTTATAGACAATCATAGGCATCGATCAAGGGAGCACAATTTACGGCTTTCAAAAACACTGTATATTGCAATTGCTTCATCGCTTGTGTTTTGGATGCCTGCCTATCTTGTCTTCTCAACGAAAGGATTCTGTCCTGGATGCTTTTCTGCGCCAGTGGTTATTTGTCTCGTGGAAGCTTTGTATCTGGCAAATTCTATGGTAAATCCTCTCGTCTACAGTTTCAGAATGAACATTTCCAAAGACGCATTTAACAAATTCCGGAGAAAAAGACGACAGAACATAAGACCAATTCAACAAAATAATTTGGGCTTTGATCTAGAAGGTTCATTTACTCCAACACTTTCGATTAAAATGATTTGAGCAGCCTAAAATAGAGTAATAACGCTGACTGTATATTATAATTGATTAAGTATTAAAAGAGGTGTTGACTTAGTTGACGCGGAGAAAAAGACGACAGAACACAGGACCAGCTCAGCAAAATAGTCCTTGCATTTTCCCGGAAGGGGCTTCGCTCCAATACTTTTGACCTGCCTGAAGTAGAAAAATATTGAAAGCTCAGATTGTATAGCATAATTAATAAAGAAAAGCTCTATTTATGCAGTCAACAACTGTGAAGCGTACACCTTTGAAGGAGTTACGCTAAATGCACAGATCTCCTTGTAAAATGTACCATTACGTGAGTGATTTTTGTAAGCTCCACCACCAATGTGGTTGTAAAAAAATGACATTTTATATTATGTTTCGTTCATTCCTAAATTAATCATCCCGTCGTCACCACTTAATGGCTTGATTAACCCATACAGATCACAGGCTGTTAGATTGTGAATCATTTGAAAGAGCTGAAATTGTTGAGGATACGGTTTCTGACATTAAACTTGTTAAACTTGAAAACTGCTCCCTTTTTGAATAGCCTCAAACTCATTTGACATATCTGATATTCACTCTTTGACTGTCATGACGCGAGTTAAATATAATATCCTATGCTGCGTTAAATTTCAGCGCTGTTAAATTTTGTAAAAGTTTCTTTAAAAAGAAAATATTGGTGTAATATGCATTGTTTTTATTCATGCAGTGCGTCTTAAATATCCGAGAATAGCTCATGGTTATGTCATCATTTTAATGCCCGAAAAGTTCAGTCTTACATTTTTTCCAAGTCTTATTAGCAGTAATCAGATTACTTAAAAAAGATCTTTGTGATATTTGTCGCATTTAAATGAATATCAACTTTTACAAATATCTAATAACTTGTAATATTTCAGATAATATATTTATGCCACTTTTTTCTCAGAAGAGGATATGCGATAAATTTTCATTTGCAATAAGCTCCCGGCTGATGTCCTCATAATCATTAGCCAAGCACTAATGACATGATATACAGTTTTTAAACAGTTAGAGAACGGAGATAAAAACGCTTAAGTGCGTTTATAGTAACACAGAGATTCCCATAAACCTTTACGAATATCTCACTATTTATCATTTTAAAATATACCACTTGTCAAAACGAAAATAAAATATGAACGGGAAAAGCTACTCCAGCCTGCATGATTTTCCCTTATTCGACACCCTCTCAAAGATTAAAACCATGGAAAATTGAAATTTTTTTTTTCATCAACACCGAAAAATTGTAATTATTTACCATTGATAGGAGATAAAATATAAATCTTTCCATGGGTAGATTTTTAATGAGCCAAAAAATAATCTTACGGCACAGAAATCGGGTTAAGATTTTATTTTAAGTTCATCGTACTTTAATTACATTTCTAATACGCGTTCTTGAATCACTCGTCTTTTTTATATTACCAATACTAGATAACCCCGATGTCCAAAAAACTGATAACCGAATTATAGTTACAATCTTTGCATTCTAGATGCGAATAAATAATCGTGTTTTATTGACATGAGATGTGGATGTTGTGAAACCGACTTTGTATCCTCTCTGTTTCTTTGTGGCCAACTGAGATTAACATCAAGTCTCCTCAACTTATCAAATAGCAATTATTGGATTCGGCTTTCATTTAGTGCTATAAAGAAATAAAAAGATTGAGGAGGGGGTTATCGGCCGTGATCTTCTAGTCCGACATCAACTAAACATGCCAGTTACCTTCATTTTTGTACAGATTCCATCTTCAATGCCTCACTCCTCTGCAGTCTAAGGTTATGAAGGGAGAATATTCATTCTAGCATAGAATGAATAATAATACTCATTTAAGCTTACTGAGCTGTACTTACTCGGTGTATGAACGAAACTTTATTTATTTTAATCATTTCTACAAAGAAATTATTTGCATGGAGAGAGAGTTTTTCCAGAGCGCATAAATATTATTTGACAGCGTGGGAGCTGTCCATGCAGTCAGTCAGTTTAAGTAAAAAATAATAATAATAAAAATAATAATAATAATAATAAAAACACACACACATACACTGCAAGCAAATCAAATGGTCAACATGTTTTACTTAAAAATCAATTTTTGTAAGCTTAAGAAATGAATATTGATTTTTTTGACTAATTATGTTATCAACCGCATTAGCAAAACATAACATGTGTGACATACCTTGTTATTAAAAACTTGTTACTTAGGGCATTTGGCATGGGCTTTGCAAATAAGTAATTTTTTAAGGCTGATAATTAATAAAAACGAAATATAAATGTTGCAGTGACAACCACAATTTGGATTCCCTGAAATAACTTAAATGAGATGAGTCCTGATTCAGTTGCCTTCCTGACAATCACACTTTTCAAATAACACTAAATGTTAGATCATGTTCTAATTTTCTCGCTCTTCTCCCTTAAATTTTAGTTAAATATGAACATTGAAATTGTCAATTTTACAAACAACGAAATGTATATAAAATTAACGCTGAAAGAACAGGAGCAGAAAATGCATGTCGATTAAATCTATGCACTAGTATACACAAAAGGAGTGTTGAGTAAGACACGTTTTTATTATAAGATGCCAACTTCATTTGTGAATTTTCTTATCTGTTGCCTTCTAATTACTGAACTGTTTTCATTTTCGTTAATTAAAAATGACAGCCCGAAGAAATCTTTTATCACACTAGATGCAAAGCGCGTCTATTTACACTGCTGCTAATAAAATGTCGTAAAAAGCGCTTAGGACATAAATGGGCGGACGGACGCCAGTTTATCTTCAATATTATCAAGACATATGTTTTTTTGATATATAGTCATTTCGTTAACAACTCAGTCAGCTTCAAGCATCATGTACCTTGGACTCGTTGAGCTTTACAAAGATCACCTGTCCTAACTGCCTTCATGCAGAAATACAGTATCTATATTTGGTCTACTTATACAGTATTAATACTGAGAAATAATATTAATAAGAACTATATTTTCTTGAGATCGACCCGGTTTTCAACTGTGCGCGAGTTGTTCCGAATTAAGAGAACTAGATAACAAAACGAAGAAAGACATGCCTTCATCGACGTCCATTTTCTTCGTGGTCATCTTCGCACTGGAGGCAATCATGATCGTTATTGGTAACACGTTTACTATTTTCGTATTCTGGAATCAAAGATCCCGCATAAATCGGACTTATTTTCTTCTGATTAACCTCGCAATTGCAGATTTACTTGTAGGAATTACAGAACTAACAGTCTTGGCAGCTTTCAAATTTGAGGTCACGCTAGAAAGTGACGGACTATTGATGCAAAGACAATCAAATCCTTCGGTTGCTTTTCAACTTTTTTTTGCGGGTACGTCAGTGTATTTTCTCGCTCTTGTCTCCTTGGAACGTGCTTTCTCCGTGTTATCGCCAATCCGTCATCGCTCCATAAACAGTCGAGTTTACATCAAGAGCATCGTTTTTGTGTGGGCAGTTGGCCTTTGTTTCTTTGCTCTAACCGTCATCGCCATTCATTACCCAGAGGTGAAACAGGAATATGTTTTTATAACAAGTAACACAGGTCTTTTTATTTCCCAACTGATAATCTGTATAAGTTACCTTAAAATACGCAATCGGTTGCGCACATCGCCACCAGGGCTTGATATTCATGGCCATCAATTACGGGCACACAATCTACGGCTTTCTAAAACGCTTTTCATCACAATCGCTTCGTCGCTTGTGTTTTGGATACCTGGTTTTGTAGTTTACTCAACCAGAGAATTTTGTCCTCAATGCTTTCCTGTACCAGTACTTAGGTTCGCGAACGCTATGTATCTGGCAAATTCCATGGTAAATCCCTTCGTCTACAGTTTCAGGATGCCAGTATTTAAAGACGCTTTAAAGAAACTCTGCAGGAAAAGACAACAGAACATAGGACCAGGGATAGCAACTCGGCATGTACACAGCCTTGTATTTTGACTATCAAAAGCCTGTCGCTTATTCAGCATAAAGGTATACCAACATCTACGGTTATGAGTTGATATGTCAAACTAGTAGGGATAGCAATATAATGACCCTGATTGTGAAAAATGATCACTGAAAAAGGCTGTGGTTACATTGTGTTTGCAGCTGAAATAACGCAAGGTATGCACTTGTGGAAAGTCCATTTGCACTGATCAACACATAGACTGTTCACAGTCCCCTATTTTTTCGTAAGATCGTCAGGATCGAGCACTTACCGCCGGAATGAGTGCCATCTTTTTCGGTGATCCAAAATGGCTACCTCGATGTCGACGATCTTACAGAAAAATAGGCGACTGTGAATAGTGTAATTAACACACAGAGTAGTATTGTAAAATACCATGATAGTAAAAAGGAGTTTTAATTTTGAATGTTAGTAGGTAGTTTTAATTGCTCAACGTTTTTCCATAAAACTTTTCGTAGTGAGGCATGTAATTACTAATTCAAACACAGGTTGAACAGTAAAAATTGAAAACTACCAGGGCAGCCAGCGAATACGACCACTATAAAAACTGTGTGAAAAACTTTCTCAAGGTTGAATCATCTTATAATTAAGCTATTTTTAATCTCTCTATCAAGTCTTTTCAAGGCGGTGGTGGATAAATAAACACGAACTGATTTGTAATGACAATTAAGTAACTTTAAGGAGATGATTCAGTAATTTTTAGGTCAATTTTACGTTTTATTCATACAACTTAAAAAATGTTGTGGGTATGAAACAACCATCTTGTTTGCAGCAATTGCCCATCCAAGCAATAATTCTCCCATTCAAAGGAAGTTCACATATAACAGGGCATTAATACTATTCTGCAAGTAGCATTTTCTCTGAAATAAAGTAAAGAAAAGAGAGAGCGACGTCTGGACATCATGGTGTGACATTTTTTAGGGCCACTATTGCTGTGTCCGGGACAATCTGATTTAAAAATCCGTACTGTCAAGAACAATTATGATATTTAAAAAGGTACAAAATAAAGCATTTAGAATGGTGGTGTCTTCAGGTGGAGTAGAGTGTAAATTAGGACGATTTATGCTCTACCAGGGCATGCAGCAATATGAGCGATTTTTAGTCACACAAAAAAGACTGAGTGTATAGATTCGAGATTTGCATAAGGAGTAGCCAAGCGCATAGCAAAAATAGTGTATTACTGAAACTGCAAACGCTGTTCTTCAAAAACGGCAGTATCAGATGTCCCAGGTGAAATACCCACTTCTGTCACTTGTATATATTTGCGGAATACATCTGTATGAAGTAAAGACCTAAATCACTCGTATTGCACTAAAAAAGCTAACTACGCAGGCTTCATCATGGGCAATGCACAATTTCAAATGAGACCGCGAGGAAATGGTAAATGAACATAGGTCTTCAGGGCGGAAAAACGTTCTGCGCAAGCTTCTGCGCATCCCTTATCGCAGGCTCAAGGCGGGCTTTTCTGTGTGTTGACTGTGTTTGTTTGTTGCTGGAGATCTGAGTGAAGTGTACGAGGTGCGAACGTTTGCTCCCTGTAAACCATTTTTATTTGACATGATTGCTTTTTTTCGTCGCTTGAAAATTACTTTGGATTCAGAACAACCACTGTTAAAGGAAAAACGGATCACTCCGTCAGTCTCCAGTGGAATAAAAGGTTTTGAACATTTTTAAAGAGGCGAGTATTTTTTTGGATTGTGCATCCCGGATTAATTTATGAGTTGATTTCGCCGGGTTAAATTAAGACCCGTTTGTATTTTGTTATTAGTAGTTACGGTTACTTTTTTTACACGCCCAGATTTATTACCTTTGCAGAACCAACTTTATCTTTGTCTTCAGTCAAAGAACCATATTGCTTTTATAACGCATCAGAGTGAACAAACTTGTGCCCTTATTTTAACTTTCTCGGAAATAGAAGGCCAGCAAGCTTACTCAGGATCATTTTTCTGTTGCTCAAGTAATAGTAGCCAGAGTTTTTTTCATTTTTCATTACATAGTTTTGTTTTCCAGTGCACTGTGAAAGTTTCTGTTCTTTATAAAAATAACTTTCTGTACGCAAATTGTCCTTTTCACTCGCTCTTAAGTAGAGAACGACAACTGCCGGCAGCGACTTCAAAACAATTGACTCTTTTCCCGTAAACAATTGCTGCAGCTGGATTTGACTGAGGCGAGCAAAACAAACCCTTATGTGCAATTTTCTGTATTATCTAATGATCGGCTGAGTTTAATTTGCTTACTTAGTAAACGAAGACCCTCGCATGGACCAGTTAAGCTTAAAATAGCTAAATGGTGAATCATGGCTTGGCTGCCAAGTAGCAACTGATCTTTTTCTTTTAAGGTCCTTAGGTAGGTTGTTCTCGTACAGAAAATTTATTTCTTCAATGTCAGCAAGAAGTTTTTGAAATAATGTAACTTTAACTTTGTTTGAAGGAAATCTTACTTACCCGTAGGTTTTTGACAGATGTTATGCGTGTTCAACTTGAAAACACAGAGCAAAATTTATATATCTGCGCGAAACGAGCAAGTTTAAAAAACTATATTTGCTTTGAAACCGATTTTTGGGAAGATTTTACTGGATAAAGATTGACCCTTTTTCTGCCCACATTTCAACGCAATAACTTCTACATTGAGGATTTTGTTTATATTTTAGTGATCTGCGAAACTACGAGTGTCCGATCGAGCGAGGGTTTTAAAATGACAGCTCGAGTGCGACAAAGTTCAGTGACTTCAAACACATTGTGGGCAAGCGTTAATTTTTTTGGGCAAATCACTGTCCAAAGATATGTTCTGATATATTGCCCATGTTTCAGCACCATACAGGAGGGAAAAAAGGACAACAGCTTGATTGACTTTGCACATGACTTTAATATACAAATGCCGGCCTTTCGATAGCCTGTCCGGTAGTTCTAAAAAAGCAGCACTTGCATTTCCCATCCTTTATCTGAGCTGGCATTGTTAGAGATAGTGCTTCATAAGCATTTGAAGTCGTAACACTGCACCTGGGCCTCTTGATTGACAGTTATGGTTGTTGGCTCAGGAGCTGGATCTAGGTTTTGCATTGGCTGTTATAAGCACTCAGTTTTTTTATTGTTGATCTCAGGAAAAATTGGGCGGCAGCTCTGGTGAACCTGTCCACCAGACTCTGAATATTATCAGCACCGTGGGCAACTACAGCAAACATCATTTCCCTCACTAGGATCTAGGTTGCGCGTGTTTTTTCTCTGAAAAGGACTACGTTAAACAGGGCAGCATCAATACGAGTTTGGTTGAAGATACCGTCCCCAACACCGTCAAAGGTTACTTTAAGCATCGAAGTGTCGGAGCGAGCACGCAACCTTGCTTGACTAATCGGTGACAACAATTCCTTGAAGATGGAATTCCCTTGAGCCACATGGGTTGCTTGGATTTTGTTGTGCACTGCCCTCACCAGATTGATAAATTCAGCAGTACATACATACTTTCCGAGCAGTACATACATACTTTCCGAGCACTTGTATTAAAAGCCTTTGTGAATTAGGTCGATAAAAATGGCATACAGCGGCATGTTATGCTCTTTACACTGGCTTGTAACTGTTGCAGACAGAAGAAGATCATAACCACACTGCCTCTACCACTGCGAATTACCGCATCGAGTCTTACACAAGATATTGGGAACTATGTGTTCGTTCAATCTGTTGAGGAATATGCGAACCACGATATTTTCGGCTATTGAGAGAAGAGGAACACTTCGATAGCTCCCACAGTCCTATCTACTTCCCTTCTCGAAGACTGACACGATAATGGGATCTTTCCAGTCTTTTGGAATTCTTCAGTTTCCCAGATCTGCAAAATCAGTTTGTACAGGCTAGAGGCGAGTTTCACAGCCACAACGTTTCCAGATTTCGGCAGCTATACCACACCTTCCAAGGGCTTTACCTTCCTTTCTTGCACTGATGGCATCCAACAGCTCCTCCAATTCAGGATTTTCATCAACAAGTGTAATGTTCGGCCTCGGTGCAATGGTGTCCACGGAAGAGCGATCAACCTTTCCTGTCATGTTAAGTAGCTGGTCAAACTGGTTTGCAAATCTATCGAGAGTCTCAGCGTTCTCCTGAATTTTTGTCTCACCATAAAGGACAGTACGCTTTGTTGTACCCCTAGCTCTTCTGTGGCCCATATATTTCTCTCAAGCCATTTTAAAAGGCTTTCATGTCGTTTTTATTTGCCGCCTGCCGGAATTGTTCAGCCTCGCACCACTGAGACTTTATTTTCCTGGTGTACTGCTGTAGATTCCGTCGAGCACCAGTCATTTCTACCCTGTTTGGTCCCAGTAGTGTTCAGCTGAAGCTGTTTCACCCTTGCATTATTTCCTTCATACAAAAAAAAGATCCTTCACCTTCTTTTTTCTGTCTTCGAAACAATCCTGGTGGTTCCGACTGGGTTTACCTAAGACTCTCAGAGCGGTGTCATATGTAGTTGTAGTTTCTTCAGTCTCTGACTACTGATGTCGAGATCCTGCCAAAGCCTTGTCCTTTTCCTTCTTCAACTTCTGCTGGTTATCTTTATCTCGTAGTTTCGTTACATCAATCTTACAGGGTGGTTTGGCAGCAGTTATGTAGTGGTTTATTTCCTGACGGAGAAGGGAACAGTGGATCTTAAGAAAACATGTTCAGTTGAACAGTCAGCGCCTCTCATGGTTCTTGTCAGTTCAAGATATCATTTTGGTCTACCTGCCTTACCATTACAAAATCTAAATGGTGCCAATGTTTATAGCGGGGTTGCGAAGAGGTCAAGTATATGACCCCTATATTAGCAACAGCATGGTGAACTGGAAGACAGTTTGGGCGGTATAACATTAGAAGAGGAATCTGGCAAGGAGACTCCTTATCATCCTTTTTTTTAATAGTCATATTGCCACTCACAATAGTGCTACGAAAAATGAGGGCTGCAGGATATAAACTGGCGAAAGCATCAAACCCATTAACCACCTATTGTTCATGGAAGAATGGGAGTTTATGGAGCTAACACAGACCAACTTAAGTATTAAAAGAGCGGTTGACTTGACGCGGAGAAAAAGACAACAGAACACAAGTCCAGCTCAGTAAAATAGTCCGTTCTTTTGCCCGGAATGAACTTCACTCCAATACTTTCGACCTGCCTGAAGAAGAAAAATATTGAAAGCTCAGATTGTATGGCATAATTAATTAAGTAAAAGCCTTATCTATGCATTCAACAACTGTCTTATCTATGCATTGCAACAAGCTGCCGGGCTAATTTTACTCATTAGCCAAGCACTAATGACATGATATACGGTTTTAAGACAGTTAGAGAACGGATGTAAAACGCTAAGTGCGTTTATGGAAACACAGAGATCCCCATAAACCTTAACGAATATTTCACCATTTATCATTTTAAAATATCCCTCTTGTCAAAACGAAAATAATATATGAACGGGAAAAAGCTACATGTCTTGATTTTCCCTTATTCGACATCTTCTCAAAGATTAAAAACTTGGAAAATGGCATTTTTTTAATTTCATCAATACCGAAAAATTGTAATTATTTACCATTGACAGGAGATGAATGGAATATAATATAAATCTTTCCATTGGTAGGTTTTTAATGAGCCAAAAAGATCTTACGGCACAGAAATCAAGTTTAGATTTTGTTTTTAAGTTCATCGTACTTTTAATTATTTTCTGATCATATCTATTATGCGTTATTAAATCACTCGTCGTTTTTATATTACCAATACTAGATAACCCCGATGTCCAAAACACTGCTAACCGAAGTATACAATCTTTGCATTATAGATGCGAATATATAATCGTGTTTATTGACACGAGATGTAGGAAATATGTTGTGAAACTTGGGCCTCAGTGACTGACGTAAATCGACTTTTTATCCTCACTGTTTCTTTGTGGCCAACTGAGTTTAACATCAAATCTCCTCGACTTATCGAATAGCAATTATTGGATTCGGCCTTCGTTTAGAAGTGAAGAATCAAGAAGATCGAGGAGTGGGTTATCGGCCGTGATCTTCTATTTCCGACATCAACTAAACATGCCAGTTACTTCCATCTTTTGTACAGATCCCATCTTCAATGCCTCACTCCTCTGCAGTCTAAGGTTATGAAGGGGGATATTCATTCTAGCATAGAATGAATAATAATACTCATTTAAGCTTACTGAGCTCTACTAACTTGGTGTATGAACGGAACTGTATCTATTTTAATCACGTCTACGTACACAAAGAAATTATTTGCAAGGAGAGATATTTTTTCCAGAGCGCATAAATATTATTCAACAGCCTGGGAGTTGTTCATGCAGTAATCAGTTTAAGTAAAAGAAAAATACTGTACACCACAAATGTGCCAAAAAATAGAGAAATAGAAAATAGAAAATAACTGTAGGAAACGAGAAAAAAATGCTGCTGAAACCTCGACTGAAATTGTTGAACATACGGCAAGAAAATCGAATGGTCAATTTTTGTGGGCTTAAGAAATGAATATTGAATTTTTTGACTAATTATTTTATCAGCTGTATTAGCAAAACATAACGTGAGATATTTTGTAATTAAAGAGTTGATACTGGAGCATTTGGCATGGGCTTTGCAAATAAGTAATTTTTAAAGGATGATAATTAATAAAAACTTAATATAAGTGTTGCAGTGACAACCACATTATGGATTCCCTGGATGGATTTCTTATCTGTTGCTTTCTAATTACTGAACCGTTTTCATATTCGTTAATTAAAAATGACAGCCCGAAGTATTCTTTTATCATACTAGATGCAAAGCGCATCTATTTACACTGCTGCTAAGAAAATGTCGTAAAAAGCGCTCAGTATTTAAATGGGCGGACGGACGCCAGTTTATCTTCAATATTATCAAGACATATGTTAATTTTTGATGTAGCCATTTCGTTAACAACTCAGTCAGTTTCATGCATCATGTACCTTGGACTCGATGAGCTTTACAAAGATCACCTGACCGTCCAAACTGCCTTCATGTAGAAATACAGTATCTTTCTTTGGTCTACAAATACAGTATTAATACTGAGAAATAATACAAGAACGATATTTTCTTAAGATCGGCAAGTACAGTGTACTGCGACCTTTTCAACTGTGCGCGAGTTGTTCCGAATTAAAGGAACTAGACAACAGAACAAGAAAAGACATGCCTTCTTCAACGTCCATTTTCTTCGTGGTCATCTTCGCACTGGAGGCAATCATGATCATTAGTGGTAACACGTTTACTATTTTCGTATTCTGGAATCAAAGATCCCGCATAAACCGGACTTATTTCCTTTTGGTTAACCTCGCAATTGCAGATTTACTTGTAGGAATTACAGAACTAATAGTCTTGGGAGCTTTCAAATTTGAGGTCATGCTAGAGAGTGACTCACTATTGAGGACGCAAAGACAATCAAATCCTTCGGTTGCTTTTCAACTTTTGTTTCCGAGTACGTCTGTCTTATTTCTCGCACTTGTCTCCTTGGAACGTGCTTTCTCCGTGTTATGGCCAATCCGTCATCGCTCCATAAGCAGTCGAGTTTACATCAAGAGCATCGTTTTTGTGTGGGCAGTTGGCCTTTGTTTCTTTGCTTTAACCGTCATCGCCATTCATTACCCAGAGGTGAAAGAGGAATATGTCTTTATAGCAAGTAACACAGGTTCCCAACTGATAATCTGTACAAGTTACCTTAAAATACGCAATCGGTTGCGCGCATCATCACCAGGGCTTGATATTCATGGCCATCAATTACAGGCACGCAATCTACGGCTTTCTAAAACGCTTTTCATCACAATCGCTTCGTCGCTTGTGTTTTGGATACCTGGTTTTGTAGTTTACTTCACTAGAGAATTTTATCCTCAATGCTTTCCTGTACCAGTACTCTGGTTCGCGAACGCTATGTATCTGGCAAATTCCATGGTAAATCCCTTCGTCTACAGTTTCAGGATGACAATATTTAAAGCCGCTTTAAGGAAATTCTGCAGGAAAAGACAATAGAGCATAGGGCCAGGCTAGCAAGTTGGCATGCACACAGCCTTTTATTTTGAGTGTCAAAAGCCGGCCTGTCGCTTACTCAACATAAAGATACAGTGAAACCCCGCCTTGCGACCACCAGGGGAATACAATGACCTCGTTATTACGGCCACTTTTTTGGGGCCACCAGGCAAAACGGCCTTACATTTTCTTGTAAAAGAAAACAACAACAACAACAACAACAACAAAAACCTCGTTAATACGATCACCCGTTAATACCGCCAATTTTTTTTTGGCCCATTGGTGACCGTATTAACCGGTTCCACTGTATACCAACATCTCAGTGTGGTTATGAGTTGATATGTCGAACTAAGAAATGGCAATAATGACGTTGATTGTGAAAAATGACCACTGAAATAGGCTGTTGGTACATTGTGTTTGCAGTTGAAACAATGCGAGGTATACACTTGTAGAAAGCCCATTATATTTGCACTGATCAACACAGACTGTTCACAGTCCCCTATTTTTTGGTAAGATTGTCTGGATCGAGCGCTTACCGGTATAGGTGCCATCTTGGTTGTTGATCCAACATGGGTATCCGTAACGAAAAGCGCTCGATGTCGACGATCTTACAGAACAATAGGGGACTGTGAACAGTCTAATAAACAAACATAGCATTGCTGTAAAATATCATAGTTAAAAGGAGTTTTAATTTTGAATGTTAGTAGGTAGCTTTAATGGCTCGTTTTTCCAGAAGACTTTTCGTAGTGAGGCATGAAATTATTAATTCAAACACAGTCCGAACAGTAAAACTTGAAAACTACCAAGGCTACCAGCGAATACGACCTCTACAATAACTGTGTGATAAACTTCCCCAAGGTCGAATCATCTCAAGCTCTTTTTAATCTCTCATCACGGCTTTACAAGGCGGTGGTGGATAAATAAACACGAAATGTTTTGCAATGACAATTATACCTTAAACCCCTGTTGCCCATGAGAAGTGACTTTGACAAGGTAATTTAGTATTTTTTAAATTAATGTTACTTTTTATTTCTGCAACTTAAATGTTGTGTGTATGAAATAATCATTTCTTTTTGCAGCGTTTTCCCATCTAAGCAGTAATTTGCCCATTCAAAGGAAGTGCACATATAAAAGCGCATTAATACTATTCTGTAAGTAGCATTTTCTCTAAAATAAAGTAAAGAAAACAGAGAGCGACGTTTAGATATCATGGGGTGAAAGTTTTAGGTTTTATATACATGTAGGTTTCGTGCGAACCATAATCTATTTTTTTTGTTGCGTTGCTAACTCGTAGAGCACAGAACTTGTAAGTTTTTGTTTCATTTAATTTTCGGCGAATTTAACCTACACGTGTGTTTTGTATTTTCTATAGTTTTCACCGCACCAAAAGCCGGATATACCAAATGTAGCAACGCATTAGGTGCTCATAAAAAAACCGGATTTATCAAAACGTGATGGCTTGCTAGTCATGCTGCTAAAACTGTGTGGTCATAATTAAAAAAGAGCTTAGGGGCACTTATCGACCGTTAGTCGTTGTAGCTTCAATATCAGTACTATGCATGTTAATTAACTTCGTTGACAACTCAGATTAATTATCAATTTACATTCGACTCGAAAAACTAATTAAACCTTATCGAGCTTTATCCACACGCAAGGTACTCTCTTACTTAGTCTAAACTGGAATGTGTCGCTGAACAGGCCGGGATATGGTTTTCAGGGTCTTGAGTATACAGTTTCACTATTGGTCAGTGTCTTTGGAAAGTATGTCTTTTCGGACCAGAAGCCTTTAAAAAGTGTGAACGTTGGTGATAAGCGGACTACATTTGTGTTACCAAGAATCTTTTTCCGAAAAAAATCTAATACTTAGACCTTAGTTACGATACTCGCAAATCTTTGCACGCACTTTAAAATTTGTCAATACGACAAGAGAAAATCGTGGTCGAGTTGATTCGAGGACGATGACGACACGTTTTTCCGGGTATTCTAAAGAATCTACAACCACTAGAAGAGTTAACACGGTTAGACAACACAGCATCACAGCATTGTTGCGACATTGTTCCGAATGACTGCATGTTTCAACATTGTAACGCNAGAACTTGTAAGTTTTTGTTTCATTTAATTTTCGGCGAATTTAACCTACACGTGTGTTTTGTATTTTCTATAGTTTTCACCGCACCAAAAGCCGGATATACCAAATGTAGCAACGCATTAGGTGCTCATAAAAAAACCGGATTTATCAAAACGTGATGGCTTGCTAGTCATGCTGCTAAAACTGTGTGGTCATAATTAAAAAAGAGCTTAGGGGCACTTATCGACCGTTAGTCGTTGTAGCTTCAATATCAGTACTATGCATGTTAATTAACTTCGTTGACAACTCAGATTAATTATCAATTTACATTCGACTCGAAAAACTAATTAAACCTTATCGAGCTTTATCCACACGCAAGGTACTCTCTTACTTAGTCTAAACTGGAATGTGTCGCTGAACAGGCCGGGATATGGTTTTCAGGGTCTTGAGTATACAGTTTCACTATTGGTCAGTGTCTTTGGAAAGTATGTCTTTTCGGACCAGAAGCCTTTAAAAAGTGTGAACGTTGGTGATAAGCGGACTACATTTGTGTTACCAAGAATCTTTTTCCGAAAAAAATCTAATACTTAGACCTTAGTTACGATACTCGCAAATCTTTGCACGCACTTTAAAATTTGTCAATACGACAAGAGAAAATCGTGGTCGAGTTGATTCGAGGACGATGACGACACGTTTTTCCGGGTATTCTAAAGAATCTACAACCACTAGAAGAGTTAACACGGTTAGACAACACAGCATCACAGCATTGTTGCGACATTGTTCCGAATGACTGCATGTTTCAACATTGTAACGCACGGTTGCGCTGAAACCCGTACTTGCAAATCGTCTCGCGTAACATCAATTTTAGCATTACGCGATTATATATTTCGTTTGATCAAGCTATAGATATTATCGAGAGCTTCGCTTTTAGCCCTGGATAAATCCGTATATTAACTGCTTGTCACAAATTCGAGTTGCAAGTGAGAATTTCTCGTTATTCAAGGTAGCTTCTCCCGTCCAAATTCCATTTCAACGCAAAACTGCATTAACTAACAGCGCTTTTGAAATAAGCAGAAATAATACTTATTTTTACTTGTTAACCTAACTATATGTAATAATAATAATAATAATAATAATAATAATAATAATAATAATAATAATAGACACTTATATAGCGCGGTATCCACTAATTGCTCAAAGCGCTGTACAATAATATGGTAAGAAACTAGAATTAAAAACTATTATACGATAAAATCAAATTAAATAAAGCTACTAAAATCAAACCCCGAAATCGTAGGCTAATTTAAATAAGTATTTCTTCAACTGCGTCTTGAACTGGTCAACAGATGTAACACCCCTGGGTTCAGGGGGAAATTGGTTTCATAACCTAGGAGCAGCTGCGGAAAAAGCCCTATCACCAGGCGTCTTTAAACTAGTCCTAGGCACGGCTAAAAAACTCTGGGAACTAGAACGAAGTAATCGTGGACCATTAGTGGAGCGTAAAAGTTCGGATAGGTAAGTTGGTGCCAAGCCATTTAGACATTTGTAAACTAAGAGTAGAATTTTAAAATGTATGCGATAATTTAGCGGTAACCAATGAAGCTTGAACAGGATAGGAGTGATATGGTCAAACCGCTTAGATAATGTATGCGTGCAGCAGTGTTTTGTATCAGTCTTAAGGTGACTCGAATGCTCACCGAGATATGATAATTTAGTATAAGAAAATAGAAGGGATTCCCGTCACGATTTGGTTTAATTATTGACTTGCATTAAACCTATAAAAAAATAATATTTTTTTAATAGTAAGTAGATTTAGTGTGTAGCACCTCTTGATTTTTTTGCAAAGGCACAAGAAGCACGAGAATTGATTAAAAATTGTGAGTTAAACCTCTATGTATCACGCGATGGCCTGTCTCACTGTTCCAAAATTATCATATTCGGAAGTCAGCCAAGCGCGGTCATTGCACGCGTGCTGAACAAGAATGCTGTATAATGACAGACTAGAAACAATAGAAAACTCCCAAAGCACAAACTCAGCCAAAACGCTAAAAATCTTCAATGTTTACTCAAGTTTGG